TCAAGAAGAGATCAGATCAGAACAGAACAGAACAGAACGGAACTCGGATACAATGGGTGTGGCCGGGACGAAGACTTTACAGGGTTAAATGCTCATATTACGAGCTGGCCAGGAGTCACTCCATGAAAGAGTTATGCGGAATAGGGCTTAGGACCGTTTAGTTCCGTTCTCCGTTCCAGGATTTCCCGTTTTTCGTCCGATTTCGATTGTATCTGGGCAGCATCCGTTCCGCAGGGAGATCGTGTTGGATGGATATGCTTTATATGCTGATGGGAGTTAAGAGATGGTGCGAACTGACAATTGACACAATTACCAGGACGGCCAAATCCGCAAACCGCTGCAATGGCATTTTGACAGCAATTGTCCTGGCCAACAATATGATCTGGGATCTTGGGCTCCGAACTGTAAACTGTTATCTGGAAAGGAAGAGGGGGCTGACAGTAGCCATTCTAACGGGGTTTCGTAGGCGGCTTTGCCCCGGAACCAAACAATGAAACAAAAAGGAGTGAAGCAGAAAGGACGCTACCGCAAAAAGGTGTGAAAATTTCAAGGGCCGATTGATAGATTGAGTGGGCCCGAGAAAATAAAAGAGTCGTGAGCCTCGATCGCAACTCTTTTTATGGGGGCTCTGCGACCCGGCAGTTTGATTAACTCCAGAAAAACCCCTAACGGTCCCCGTTCGCTGACTGACAATGGAATATGTGGCAGCTAATCAACAGTAAAATGCATAAAATTAAGTGAGCAATGAAAGGGGATTATTGGGAATAAGGGCCGGCGTGCCGAGTTATTTGAAATGTCTCACATTATCCGCACATAACTGTACCCCAAGCGGTTCTCACACAAATAGATACCGAATGCGGATCTGAGTCTTCGAACAATGGCCTAAACGTTGACAGTTCATCAAAGCGAATGATGCATGCAAAATGAATATTCCATCAGCGGCAAATACCCTGCAATCGAGCAGCAGTATAGCCATGCACTATGAAAAATCATGTACCTATTCTACGAGCATTTCAAAGCGAGCTAAAGTGATAACTGTTTTATTTTTTTATAGTTCGTAAAAACCACTTTCTTTGATATATTCTCTCTGGAGTTTTCACTCAGTGTAAGAAGTGATCTCCCACACTGAAATCAGCCGTAAAATGTGGCTTTCTTTGGATTGCTTTCTTTTGGTTGTCTTGTGTGTGTGCGAGTATTTTCCCAACCCGAGTATTTTCATTTTCCGTTGGCGATGGGCGTTGACACGGACACACCCCTCGATCCCCTGTATCCTGGCTATTTTCGTGAGATCCTGACAACAGGACAACAGTCACAATGATGGCGTAAGGAAGTAGCAAGTTAGTTTTGCCCATTTAAATAGCACTTCGGCAGTCGAGCTCTTTGTACGGTGATTTGACGAACATTATATGGCTTTATTATTACTGTTGTGTGGGGTCTCCCCTTCGATCGACCCATCGATCACCCCTAATCTTGACTTAGAACCTTGAACTTATCACGCCCCCGCCAGCCGTGTTTGGCATTTTAATGTTAGGTATTGGAATTTCAATATTTGAATATTTAAAGTCTGTGAGCTGGCATGTGTTTGGCCCAGGCAAACTTCAGATAGTAATTCGATAGACTTGCTGTCGCCCCATTTTAGAAGATGAGGTTCGCTTGATAAGCGAACCAAGAACCTATCCGAGTCTCCAGGCAAATGCCATTTGGGTAATCAAAACCGCACTAATTGGCATAGTAATGCAATACTGCTTTAGACTCTGGATGCCGGACTTTGGATTTCGGATTCCGTATTCCGGAATTGAGATTTGTTCGAGATCTTTTCGCTTCGATGGTCAGAAATGAATGAAGGACTCTATTTGAAGCGGCTCGACGTCTCTCAATTAAAGGATGCCATAATTGAGCAGCCTTTTGCTGGACGTAGGATTAGGAGCCATAGGATAACAATTAGCCAAAGGATTTGACGACGGAAGCTATGGCCATTGTGGGTTCCTTTTGAGTACTTAACTTGTGTCTTTTTAGTCGGGGGATCTTTTTGCTGTGCTGTGCACTTCCGTTTGCGGAAGTGGCCGAAGTAAATCCTCAGAAACATCCAACCTGAGCAATGCCCGTTCCCATTATCCTCGGCAAGTGTGCACTTTGCATATGCCAAGGAAAACAAACAAGTGATCCATGGTCCTCGATCCTTCTTTCTCAATCCTAGTTAGTCTTTTTCGCTTAGCCCAAACACTGTGCAGCGTGAAGAGAGGTTCCTTTGTCCTACCGAGGAGCACGTGTAATCCCCGTTCACTTCCTCGCCGACCGACTACTTACTTCCTCATTAGCATAGCATCGTAGGATATAGGGATATAGACGAGCCGAAATGCCTTTCCTGATGGGCTTAGGCGGCCATCGTGGCCGAAAATTAACTGAATTACGTACGGCAAAACTAATCATACATTTGAAAGCAGTCCCACTTTATCAATTGTGATGGAAGAACGGACCTTACAGGAAGTTGTTTCTTGTTCGGTTTTCTCCAGGACGGTTGCAACTCTCTTAAGTTACTCTTCATTACAAGAACCTAATATACGATAGAGAGGGAATCTAGATAATATGATTGCAGGACTCTTAGGTTTTTAGGGATAAAATGGCAAAAAATGCATTTGTCCATGTGAAAAACGAGAATAACATTTCGAAGAAAGAAAATGGCACTCCTAAGAGTCGTTACGTTGTTTTCAATTTGGTTTTACGACATGTAAGGCCCGTTTGAAATTATGGATTCCGATATGCGGCTGTTAACCCATTAAAACAAAGGACCGCGAAAGGAGTTAACGTTGATTCCCCGAATCCATATTTAAAACACTCCCCTCACCCTTTTCGGGCGGGCCATATACGGCGAAACCCCTTTCAGTCAATTAGTCGCTGATTTTCTTTGTGTCGCCTAGCAGCGAACCAATATAAAAATCGCGGGCACAATGGACAGAGGAGAGAACCCTTTTTTTACGGACCGCCGATGTCCAGAAACTTAAGTTTATGGCACCTTAAAAAACGGCAGCGGTCTCCGGAGATCGCGGATACGGGTTCGGAACGAGGCCTTTTCGCACGAAGCGTCCATTATGCAATAAAACTCTGGCTGTTTTTTAGGCAATAGTTAAAACCATAAAGTGGGTGGGCAACCCGTTCGGGAATCAGGTAGAAGATTCCGTAAAAAACGCGCCCAAGGTCACCACTCAAAGGATTGCACAAATATTGCATCTTTGGTTCGGAGCTCATTATAACGAAGCAACAGCAGTCGGAATATATGAATATATGGTTTTATGGTCTCTGTTTTTTAAGTTTTTTTTTTTTCGCTGAACCTGGTTTTTACAGGGAAATTGGCCAACTCTTTGGCTTCGACTCTGGCCGCGACTTTTTATGGTATCTGTTCGGGATCAGTAGGGCCTGGTTATATGGCTAGGATATGTTTTCGAGCGTAGGGATCTCAGGTAAACGATCGGCTCAATGACGAGGACGAGGACGGGGCCGAGTTTTAGTTTAATCCACCATTTTTACGGTTGGATTAGCGCACGGATTAGTGGATAAGTTCGCGGTTTTTTTTACTGATTACTGGATCGATCCCTCTTTTTATTTGCAATATCCGACTGAATGGAGAGCTGTAAAAAGTGAATGAATGAAAATTAGACAAGGTGGATGTGAGAGTCTAATGAAATCGAAAAAATGAATACAAAATAGTGTTATTGACTTTATGAGCTGTGCGACTACGTGTACTTTGTGAATATATACTGAAAAAACATAAGTAAGTTTCCTGCCGATTTGTTTCCCATGGATGCTACGCCAACTTTTCACTGTAAGCCACTTCCGTTCGCCATCAAGGTGACCGTTAGATTAAACAGTTAAGTAAAGGCAAACAAGTTGTGGAGGGTCCCACGCCACAGCGGAAGCCAAAGGTATAAAGGATAATGCAGCCATGATGTTTGAGAGGAGGGATAAACAAGAAATTGTCAACATCACGGACACTTGTCGCAATGTTCCTAGACTCTTGATCCTCTAGGTGGCGGCGTCATGAATCAAATGGCCAGACTGGCGAGTGTCCTTGGCCGGATTCGGGGAACGCAACTCTCCGTTACGAAAATGCGAAAAGGATGCGAATTACGACAGACGAAAGAAGCGGAAAACTGCAGAAACGCCAGAACTCGGCCTAATTTCCATAATTTGTCACGCACAATCCAGCGATGCAGATTTTGGATGGGCTGGTCAGCAAAAGGATTTCCAGACAAAAGCGCAAAACAAACGGATTTAGAATTCGCAACCCTTAAACATTGTGCATCTATCATCTACAGTCCGAGTTCTGCATAGTCCTCTAGAGCCAGTGGCTTTCTTTCTGGACAGAAATGTATGATATTGCCCTAGTTTATGGATGCTACTTTAAAGGGACTTCAACTTGAGGAGTATTCTGGAAACTTTGGACGTATCATAATGATTGATCTATACTCAGATGAAAAAGAGTTATAAGGAAATATGTTGATTTATTCACAAAAGACATTGCTGTTACATTTATATCTTCAGCTAGTTCTTGTACTAAGCACTAGCGCAGAGCCGATTCCTTGAAAACAAAATGTAAATCACGTCAAAGGCGACATAAGTTTCCCTGCTTTTCCTCATTGAATACCACTAAAGCCGCGGAAAAAACCATATCCTTTCCCAAGAACTAATGGAATAAAAAATTTCGAAAACTCTTTCTTTTTTTTTTTTTTTTTTTGGTAAATTACGCTAAATGGCGAAGTAACAATCGTACAAAGAGCTAAGATTTTTGCGAAAACCAAAGGAGGAGAAAGGGGCAGTCGCACCCTCGTAAAACCCTTTCGAAGGCGGCTAGACAGAGATGGCAATAGATGAGAGTGGGACAGGAACAGAATCACCCCTTTGCCCTTTGTACCGCCTACCTGCCTCGTACCGCTTCGGGTGCTCGCTCGTGTCCGCCATTTACATCTGAATGAAGCGTCGGCGCAGCCTCCGGATTTTGGGTATAAATTCAGGGGGTATCGGCGAGAGGAAATCAGTTTGCGTTCGACATCGTCAGCGTGAAGATATAGCAAGAACATAGCTAGACCAATCTATATAATCATCAATCAGTTGGATTAAACCCAGAAACATACATCATGCTAATGCACGAGAAACTCATCGCCGGGCAGTTCTTCGATCTCAAGAATGGTAAATTAACCACGCCCCTTGGACTCTCTTCGATCAGCAAACTAACCAGTCTTCTCTCTCCTGATCCTATAGATCGCAAGCCGTTGATGCACCACCATCAGTATCAGCACCACCAGACGCATCACCAGCAGCAATCACTGCACCACTTGCCGCACAGCCAATTGCCGGTTCAGGGATCCTTGGGCTTGCCTAAAATGGATCTCTATGCGGCATATGCCTACCAGCAGCAGTTGCTAGGAGCTGCACTCAGCCAGCAGCAACAGCAACAGCAACATCAGCAACTGCAACAGCAGCAGCATCAGCAACAGGCATCCTCTGCTGAGGTTTTAGATCTTTCACGGCGATGCGACAGCGTTGAAACGCCCAGGAAGACTCCATCACCCTATCAGACCAGCTACAGCTATGGCAGTGGTTCGCCCTCTGCCTCGCCCACCAGCAATCTTCTGTATGCCGCCCAGATGCAACAGCAACAGCAACAGCAGCAACATCAGCAGCAGCAACAATTGGCCTCCCTGTATCCCGCTTTTTACTACAACAACATTAAGCAGGAGCAAGCCACTCCGACTGCTGCCCCACCAAAGGTCACACCCACCGCTAGCCTCCTACAGACCTTTGCTGCCGCTTCTGCTGCAGCTGCCGCAGCTGCTGCTGCTTCATCGACCAACTCACCGAGACCCGCAAGCAATGCCAGCACTATGCAAATAGATGTCATGGAGAATCCCCAATCTCCGGCTGTTGAGGCCACCACACCAACCACATCCAGCAGTGGGGATGCAAGCAAGAATACTCGTCCCTTTAAGGCCTTTCCCCGGGATCCTTTGGTCATAGCTGCCAATTTCGCAGCCACCGATGTCCTTCTGGATAATCCGCGAGTGGAGCGCTACACAGAATACCGAAAGAGGGTTCTCGAGCAAATCAGGAGCTCCAACGGAGGATCACGCACCGTGACCAATCCCAAAATGCGAAGGACAAACTCAAGGAGCGGCTCCGTCAACGAAGGCAGCTCCTCGAACAACAATAGCGAAAGCGAGGATCGTGCTGCGGCGGAGGAGTCCAGCGACTGCGATTCCCAGGCGGGCAACTTCGAGGGAAAATCCTCCACCAGCAACTCCACCAATTTGGCCAACACCACTGGTGTCAACTCTGGGGTCAATTCGGGCAGCCAGGTGAAGGATGCCGCTTACTACGAGAGACGCCGTAAGAACAACGCCGCAGCCAAGAAGTCCCGCGATCGTCGCCGCATCAAGGAGGATGAGATCGCCATTAGGGCCGCCTATCTGGAGCGCCAGAACATTGAACTGCTGTGCCAAATTGATGCCCTCAAAGCCCAATTGGCCGCCTTCACCTCTGCCAAAGTAACCACCGCCTAAAAGTCCATTCCTCTCTTGATGCGTTGAACGCGAAGATCCGAATCGTAGATCCTATTTTTGGGTCAGCTTATCTGTGAATAGTTTAGGGGGCTCAAATTTCTTTTTTTTTTTTACACTCGCATTTAAGTACTGTAAGTCCTTGGAGTATACGATATATTTGTAAAATGTGTTAGCTATAAGTGCATCTCGCAATCTCACCAGTTATCTAATCAATCGAATCGCCTATAGATGTAGAAGTCCCAGATAGCTCTTAGTATTTGCCTAGTAAGTCATTTTTTTCATAACTCTAAGAAATAAATTTCAAAATAAATTATAAATAAAAACCTTAATCGGTATTTTTCAATTCATATTTATTATCTTTAGATTAGAACCGCAAAATCTTTTTAAATGCTAATCGATTCAAAACTAAATTACCATCCCAACATTTCATATACAAGTTATGGCAAAATACTGTCATTTGTCAATATAAAACAAATTTCGCATTTTTGATTAAACAAAAAAATGTTTCTTTTACAGGTTTGAATGCAGATTGACCAGGAATTAGAAAACGGATGCGTTGAGGTATGTCATTCCATATTTAGACCAATATTGGTTTAGTTATATACCATAATTCAGGAGAAAAATGAAATTAACAAATTTTCGATAACATCGGCATTTTTCTTTTGAAAATTGGCAAAAATAATGCAATTTACTCTGTAAAAAACTGATTTTTGTAGCGTTTCTTAGCTCTAACTAACGCACGGCTAAAACAGTGACTGTTTTATGCAGCTAACAACCAACACTGTAAACCCCTATACCTTCTTCTACCAGTATTGTTCTGATTTCGTTAGGGCGAGTGATGATTTAATGGCTAAAAGGCTGAAAAAACCTTTTTTATACAGAAGAGATCCCGGTTTGTTGCCGTTTCTTAGCTCTCACTTTGTCAACTCAAGGCGCACGGCTAAAACAGTGACTGTTCTTTGCAGCTAACAACCAAAACTGTAAACGCCTATACCCACTTCTAGCAGTATTGTTCTGATTTCGTTGGGGCGAGTGATGATTTAATGGCTAAAAGGCTGAAAAAACCTTTTTTATACAGAAGAGATCCCGGTTTGTTGCCGTTTCTTAGCTCTCACTTTGTCAAAACAAGGCGCACGGCTAAAACAGTGACTGTTCTTTGCAGCTAACAACCAAATTTGTAAACCCCTATACCTACTTTTACCAGTATTGTTCTGATTTCGTTGGGGCGAGTGAAGATTTAATGGCTAAAAGGCTGAAAAAACCTTTTTTATACAGAAGAGATCCCGGTTTGTTGCCGTTTCTTAGCTCTCACTTTGTCAACACAAGGCGCACGGCTAAAACAGTGACTGTTTTATGCAGCTAACAACCAAAACTGTAAACCCCTATACCTACTTTTACCAGTATTATTCTGATTTCGTTAGGGCGAGTGAAGATTTAATGGCTAAAAGGCTGAAAAAACCTTTTTTATACAGAAGAGATCCCGGTTTGTTGCCGTTTCTTAGCTCTCACTTTGTCAAAACAAGGCGCACGGCTAAAACAGTGACTGTTCTTTGCAGCTAACAACCAAAACTGTAAACGCCTATACCCACTTCTAGCAGTATTGTTCTGATTTCGTTGGGGCGAGTGATGATTTAATGGCTAAAAGGCTGAAAAAACCTTTTTTATACAGAAGAGATCCCGGTTTGTTGCCGTTTCTTAGCTCTCACTTTGTCAAAACAAGGCGCACGGCTAAAACAGTGACTGTTCTTTGCAGCTAACAACCAAATTTGTAAACCCCTATACCTACTTTTACCAGTATTGTTCTGATTTCGTTGGGGCGAGTGATGATTTAACGGCTAAAAGGCTGAAAAAACCTTTTTTATACAGAAGAGATCCCGGTTTGTTGCCGTTTCTTAGCTCTCACTTTGTCAAAACAAGGCGCACGGCTAAAACAGTGACTGTTCTTTGCCGCTAACAACCAAAACTGTAAACCCCTATACCTACTTTTACCAGTATTGTTCTGATTTCGTTGGGGCGAGTGAAGATTTAATGGCTAAAAGGCTGAAAAAACCTTTTTATACAGAAGAGATCCCGGTTTGTTGCCGTTTCTTAGCTCTCACTTTGTCAAAACAAGGCGCACGGCTAAAACAGTGACTGTTCTTTGCAGCTAACAACCAAAACTGTAAACGCCTATACCCACTTCTAGCAGTATTGTTCTGATTTCGTTGGGGCGAGTGATGATTTAATGGCTAAAAGGCTGAAAAAACCTTTTTTATACAGAAGAGATCCCGGTTTGTTGCCGTTTCTTAGCTCTCACTTTGTCAAAACAAGGCGCACGGCTAAAACAGTGACTGTTCTTTGCAGCTAACAACCAAATTTGTAAACCCCTATACCTACTTTTACCAGTATTGTTCTGATTTCGTTGGGGCGAGTGATGATTTAACGGCTAAAAGGCTGAAAAAACCTTTTTTATACAGAAGAGATCCCGGTTTGTTGCCGTTTCTTAGCTCTCACTTTGTCAAAACAAGGCGCACGGCTAAAACAGTGACTGTTCTTTGCAGCTAACAACGAAAGCTGTAAACCCCTATACCTACTTTTACCAGTATTGTTCTGATTTCGCTGGGGCGAGTGATGATTTAATGGCTAAAAGGCTGAAAAAACCTTCTTTATACAGAAGAGATCCCGGTTTGTTGCCGTTTCTTAGCTCTTACTTTGTCAAAACAAGGCGCACGGCTAAAACAGTGAATTTTCTATGCAGCCAACAACCAAAACTGTAAACCCCTATACCTACTTTTACCAGTATTGTTCTGATTTCGTTGGGGCGAGTGCTGATTTAATGGCTAAAATGTCAAAAACCCTGTTCTTGATAGAAATTTGCAATATTATTTTGGGGTTTTTTACTCTATCTCGGTCAAAACAAGACGCACAGCCAAAAGAACGACTGTTTTGTGCTGCTAACGACCAACATTTACCATCCCTATCACTCGTTTTTTGATTTTGGGAAAATCAATTTTGGCCCAAATTTTGCATTTTCGATAAGGGGTACCATCATCAAAATTTTAAAAAATGCCCAAAAATGAAGTTTTCCAGATTTGAATGCAAATCAATTGGGAATCATAGCAATCAAATTACGAGTCCTACGAGGTATTACATTCCCCATTTGGACCATTTTTTGGCTGTGCTATAGCAAAAAACTGATTTTTTTGTGGGCAAAATCATGAATACGCCTTTTGACAGTATGGATTTCGGATTTGTTGCCGTTTCTTAGCTCTCACTTTGTCAACACAAGGCGCACGGCTAAAACAGTGACTGTTCTTTGCAGCTAACAACCAAATTTGTAAACCCCTATACCTACTTTTACCAGTATTGTTCTGATTTCGTTGGGGCGAGTGATGATTAAACGGCTAAAAGGCTGAAAAAACCTTTTTTATACAGAAGAGATCCCGGTTTGTTGCCGTTTCTTAGCTCTTACTTTGTCAAAACAAGGCGCACGGCTAAAACAGTGAATTTTCTATGCAGCCAACAACCAAAACTGTAAACCCCTATACCTACTTTTACCAGTATTGTTCTGATTTCGTTGGGGCGAGTGAAGATTTAATGGCTAAAAGGCTGAAAAAACCTTTTTTATACAGAAGAGATCCCGGTTTGTTGCCGTTTCTTAGCTCTCACTTTGTCAAAACAAGGCGCACGGCTAAAACAGTGACTGTTCTTTGCCGCTAACAACCAAAACTGTAAACCCCTATACCTACTTTTACCAGTATTGTTCTGATTTCGTTGGGGCGAGTGAAGATTTAATGGCTAAAAGGCTGAAAAAACCTTTTTTATACAGAAGAGATCCCGGTTTGTTGCCGTTTCTTAGCTCTCACTTTGTCAAAACAAGGCGCACGGCTAAAACAGTGACTGTTCTTTGCAGCTAACAACCAAAACTGTAAACGCCTATACCCACTTCTAGCAGTATTGTTCTGATTTCGTTGGGGCGAGTGATGATTTAACGGCTAAAAGGCTGAAAAAACCTTTTTTATACAGAAGAGATCCCGGTTTGTTGCCGTTTCTTAGCTCTCACTTTGTCAAAACAAGGCGCACGGCTAAAACAGTGACTGTTCTTTGCAGGTAACAACCAAAGCTGTGAACCCCTATACCTATTTTTACCAGTATTGTTCTGATTTCGTTGGAGCGAGTGCTGATTTAATGGCTAAAATGTCAAAAACCCTGTTCTTGATAGAAATTTGCAATATTATTTTGGGGTTTTTTACTCTATCTCGGTCAAAACAAGACGCACAGCCAAAAGAACGACTGTTTTGTGCTGCTAACGACCAACATTTACCATCCCTATCACTCGTTTTTTGATTTTGGGAAAATCAATTTTGGCCCAAATTTTGCATTTTCGATAAGGGGTACCATCATCAAAATTTTAAAAAATGCCCAAAAATGAAGTTTTCCAGATTTGAATGCAAATCAATTGGGAATCATAGCAATCAAATTACGAGTCCTACGAGGTATTACATTCCCCATTTGGACCATTTTTGGCTGTGCTATAGCAAAAAAACTGATTTTTTTGTGGGCAAAATCATGAATACGCCTTTTGACAGTATGGATTTCGGATTTGTTGCCGTTTCTTAGCTCTCACTTTGTCAACACAAGGCGCACGGCTAAAACAGTGACTGTTCTTTGCAGCTAACAACCAAATTTGTAAACCCCTATACCTACTTTTACCAGTATTGTTCTGATTTCGTTGGGGCGAGTGATGATTTAACGGCTAAAAGGCTGAAAAAACCTTTTTTATACAGAAGAGATCCCGGTTTGTTGCCGTTTCTTAGCTCTCACTTTGTCAACACAAGGCGCACGGCTAAAACAGTGACTGTTTTATGCAGCTAACAACCAAAACTGTAAACCCCTATACCTACTTTTACCAGTATTGTTCTGATTTCGTTGGGGCGAGTGATGATTTAACGGCTAAAAGGCTGAAAAAACCTTTTTTATACAGAAGAGATCCCGGTTTGTTGCCGTTTCTTAGCTCTCACTTTGTCAAAACAAGGCGCACGGCTAAAACAGTGACTGTTCTTTGCAGGTAACAACCAAAGCTGTGAACCCCTATACCTATTTTTACCAGTATTGTTCTGATTTCGTTGGAGCGAGTGCTGATTTAATGGCTAAAATGTCAAAAACCCTGTTCTTGATAGAAATTTGCAATATTATTTTGGGGTTTTTTACTCTATCTCGGTCAAAACAAGACGCACAGCCAAAAGAACGACTGTTTTGTGCTGCTAACGACCAACATTTACCATCCCTATCACTCGTTTTTTGATTTTGGGAAAATCAATTTTGGCCCAAATTTTGCATTTTCGATAAGGGGTACCATCATCAAAATTTTAAAAAATGCCCAAAATGAAGTTTTCCAGATTTGAATGCAAATCAATTGGGAATCATAGCAATCAAATTACGAGTCCTACGAGGTATTACATTCCCCATTTGGACCATTTTTGGCTGTGCTATAGCAAAAAAACTGATTTTTTTGTGGGCAAAATCATGAATACGCCTTTTGACAGTATGGATTTCGGATTTGTTGCCGTTTCTTAGCTCTC